AGTTGCTCATTTTTTGTAAGTTTTTTCATTCAATTTTCGTATATTTCAGCCTTAACATCTTAAATGTTTTTGCCCTTAAAACATAAATTAAAATTTCATAAAGATTCATAACCTCAAATTTTGAAACGTGGCTTTTGAAAAAAAATGTTTAATTCAGGTAAAGGATAGAAATAATTATTCTAACAATACATTATAATAAAGAAATTTTAAATTTTATTGTTAACAGAAAATTCAAAGGATTTCAATACTTCTCGCTTTTCTACCATGTGGTCAAACTAATTAACTGACGGTAATATATAACAATTTTCTAGTGTAGTTTCGTATCTAATCGTAAAATATTTAATAATTCCGTAGTTGTGTCCGAAGACGACTCCAAGTCGAAACACGTGTAACATAAAAATAACAAAATTACATGATTCATCTTTTAAGGCCGAACTTGATAATAAAAGAGAAGATGTGATCGGGCTTCGTATACCGTCCAGCACCTTACGAAAAATTACAGGCTTACCTTTCAAAATTTTTCAAAATTAATTTCAATATTTACAACTGGAATACTATTTAGCTACTAAAATATTAAATAAAATAAATTGAATTCAAATAGAGCAGTTATATTGGTATAACAAAGATACGTGTAAAGAACATGCCACAGTTTTATTACAGTTATTAATAAAGACAAAACTTTTATACGAATGCAAGTGGAAAAGTAAATGTAAAGTTACTCGAGGTAAATTAAAACCCGTTCAAAAATTACGTACTCTCAATAATCAATAATGAACAAATTTTATAATAGTGTTTATAATTACCAATTACATATTATATTGTTTATTATTTTGTTCAAGTATACCATATAGTTATTACTAGTTACTTGTTAGTTGAAGTACAGGGTGACCATATGAAATGGTACGATTTCAAATAGTTAAAAAATGCTCAAAACATCAACTATTGTAAAATTTATTGATTATTAAAACATAAAGAACAAGAGCAGATATTTTGTGCAAACTCACAATCTACCATTTTTTTAAATAATTTCTGAATGATGACCTCCGTTTAGTCTGCTTTAGTCGCTCACATTCTCGCAGTTTTGTTGCAAAGCTTCCAATAACATTGCGCAACATTTCTAGTGATATTGTGACCATCTCAGTTTAAATTATTTTTTTTTAACATCTCAAGAGTTCTTGGAGGTTACTTTGAAACACTTTTATTTTCAAATACCCCCAAAGAATAAAGTCGCACTTATATAAAATTTCCGTTCATGTTGATTATGTTTTCATCAATAAATTAAAAGTTGATTTTTTAAATATTTTTGACTATTTGAAATCTTCCCGTTTCATCTGCTCACTGAACGTTTTGTTTGGTTGACGTTCAAGAATAGCAAACTTTTGTTTCGGGATTTGTTTGTTTTGTTTTTTTTGCAGAGCCATCTAGGAGGAACTTTCCTTTACCACCTTTCCTTCTTATTTTATAAACATTTTTAAGATTTTAAAAGGTAGATGGGGTTGATTAACTTAGGAATTTAATTGTTCAAATTTTAAAGAATTTTTTTTGAGGATCAATTGAGAATAAAATAGGAATTCGGTTAACTTAGTTAAAACTTGTTTTTTAAGTAATATCAGAATAAAGAAGGAGATTTTGGGGAAAAGTATAATGTTCCACTTTTTTGGTAATATGAGTTTTTTTTTAAAGTTATAAAACGAAAACACGACAAAATTTAACTCTCTTTCGTCATTCAGCGTTATACGTTATACGTATAACATTTTAAAATCGGTCGTCGACATTTTAAAAATTTGAGTTTTGAGAAGTTTAGTCGAGATTATTAATCCATAATTTTTGGGAGAATCACGCATGTTATAATATTAAATCATAATTGATCGTTCGTGATTTTGGTAACAGAAGTTTATTCTGGATTTAGTTATACTGCAAAGAAAAAATTTGTTTGATAGCCTCAGAACATCCACGAGGTATGTTAAAATTAATTTTTTTATCCTAATTTTCATTCATTCATTCTTTCATACATTAGATTTCATTCAAAACCTTTCATGCTATTTAAAAAAAAACATAACTATCTTAAAACTATTGAATTTTTCTCAATTAATTTTAATTGGTTAGGCTTTTTGGAGCATTTTAAGGAAAATTTTCTTCATCCACCTCGTGGGGAATAAAATCACGAGGTCATTCATTCACCTAAAAATCCCTAAAATAAGTATCCTGAAGGAAGAAGGCGTTAGCAGATTGTTTATGGTAACCTTGACTCAGGGAAAAGGTCAGACGTTAAGTTTTGTTATAAAACATTTAAGAAACAATTTACTTAAACTAAGATTAGAACTAAAACTAGAACTAACACTAGAAACTTTCGGGTTTTGCCGTGCGTCTTTTAATAAAAGGTTCGAAGTCACTTCGAACCAGTTTCTGAAGAAGGTTTCAACATGGCATCCGAAACGTCAAACCTTTTATTAAAAGACGCACGGCAAAACCCGAAAGTTTCTAGTGTTAGTTCTAGTTTTAGTTCTAATCTTAGTTTAATTCACACCGGCCGTGAAAGCCTTCGTACTTAAACAATTTACTGTTTTGGAAATTTAATTTAAATTAATTTTGTTTAATTTTTTTATTATTATTATATCTTTTGATTATCTTCTTTTGTAAAATTTTAATTGGAATCTTTTTTTTTCTTTTCGATTCATAGAAATTTGTTCTAAATTAAATTTAATTTTATCAGACGAATACGGACATTTATATTTTTTTTTTTTGCTTTTGCTTTCTGATTTGGAATAATTTAATTTTCATAATAACATTTTCCAATTTCAATCATCAGTTTTTTTTTTATTTAATTTTAATTTTCATTTATCATTTTGGTTTGTGTATTACATACTCTTTTATTTATATATTTTTTCCAATATATTTCGTATTGTTTTATTTGCTATTCTAGAATTTCAATTATTTACTGTTGTGTTTTACTGTTAAATGTTGAAATTTTTAATATCTTCTTTTTGCCATTATTGTGTTATCGTGGTTTATTCAATGGCGTGGCGCTGTATAAATAAATCACCCCTTCTCCATTGAGCTGGTCGAGGTACCGCGATAAAATTCACTTTTCAAAATTAAAGTTAGGTAAATTGGGTGGGATAAGTTGAGTATATAGTATATATATTTTTTTTGTGATACAGCGGCAACATCACCCTTTATTATTTATAGTAGAAATTTAATATTGTATTTATTTAGTTAATCTTTTCGTATTTGTTCTTCTTAACCTGACTTTTTCTATGTTTGACAAAAGCGTTTGGCTTTTAATACATCCTGTATATTTAGCTTATATTCGGAAATATTTTAATATCATAATTCTATTATTGAATTTATGTACTTCAATTTTTTTATTTCCATTAAGGCCAGGCGCGCACTAGCGATTTAGTTGCGGCAACTAAAAAATTACATCTTGCCCTATTTTCAAGGCGACTCAACTGTTGCCGTACACGCGTTAACCTATACACGCGCACTGGCAATTATTCGATCAGTTGCTACGTGTATCACAGCCGCTACACAGCAAGACATTATACGTCTCGCAACGTATAGTAAACAAAAATGTCTGTAGACGTAGAATTATTTATTAGTGAAATAGAAAAGAGACCGGCTTTATACAATATCAAATTAAAAGAATATGCCGACAAAAATGTAAAACAGAAATTATAGGCGGAAATCTTTGAAAAATTTGTAGAGAACTGACATAATCTTTCCGGTGTTGAGAAAACAGAAAAAGGTAGTATATCTTTATATAATTATTTATTTAAATAAATTCTATAATTATAAAAGGTAGATACATAATTGTGTATAGGTTGATTCAAAATAAAGATAGCTAAATAAGATAGCTAAAATGAAACTCCATGTGGTATAGCTAATTTTAAGTTGATAATCGACTTCAAAGTTTTATTATTTTTTAAAAAGTCGTTGAAGTATAACAATTGAATATTTTATAAAAACCAAACACAAAAAAATCAACTCAGAGTAAACGATTTAGTGAATATTTCAAGAACGAATGCTAATTAAAGAAAAGAAAAATTGTTATTCTTTATTTTCGATTTCAATTTTTTCGACACTGAAAATGAAACTTTGAGCCGATCGAAAAAAAAAAAATTTCTTTCATTTCGACTTAAAATTGGTTATTCCACATGGAGTTTCATTTTAGCCAAATACTTTTGAATCAGCCTGTATATTGTATTGACATTTTTATTTAAATTGGAGAGGTGAAATATTTTGCAAAATAGTCTCTAATGTGAATACCTCTAACGGACCCTCTTGTTCCAACAGGATCCATGTTATCTAAATGACATTCGTAGAAACTATCTTCGAAACAAACTCCATCATGCTTCCTAACAAAATTGTGGAGAATGCAGCATGCTTTATAATGATATCGGATAATTCAAGACTGGTATCTAATGGCCTATTCTCTTGATAGCCTATAGTTAAAGACACGTTTCGTAACTGACAAACTTTTGCTAAGATATGGACGTAGAATATGTTCTGAAGTAGCAAATGCTTCATCGCCTAAAATTATAAACGGCATGACAGTTCCGGTTTCCTCATTTGGTAGCAGTGTTGGGCCTGGTATATTTAACTGTCCTTTTTCAAGTAAACTGCCAAATTTTGATTTCTTGAAAATATTGGAATCACTTGCAGAACCATAGGCTCCAACTTCTATTGAAGTAAAACAGTAGTCGGAATCTGCTACTCCAAGCAACACAGTTGAAAAGAAACACTTAGGCCCTCCGCACACGGGTCGACTGATTTGCAATCGGAGTTTCAAATCGGTTGGGGATGCAACCGTTTGGCGACATAGTCTGTATACGAGAACGGGGATCCACACACGGGTCGATAAAAATGTGACCGATTTGCAATCAGTATCCAACCGGTTGCATGCGACTGTTTTTCCGTGTCGCGAGACGGTTTCAGTTGTATGGTTGCGTGTTTTGTAAACACGTTTTTGTTTCTTTCACGCTGTTTTTATTTTCGGCATGGATCAGGAAACTAATATTAAGTTTGTTAAAGAAGTAGAAAAGCATGAAGTGCTTTATAATTACCATCTTTCTGGATATTCAAGGAAAGAAATCACGGAAAAAGCATGGCAGGAGGTGGCGGCTAAAGTAAATATGTCAGGTATGTGAAATACTTATGTTATTACGACATATCTAGCCTCCCTGGCCCCCGGACCCACTTTGTTAAGATTCCCTTCGTCCCCAAGCTGACGGATAAACTTGTTTCAGTTCTGAGGTTTGACTCGGTTAGGTTTGCTAAATGCAATTCTTTGCCTTTATCCACCTGTTTTTCAAGGACTAAGGATCTGGTTCCTAAAGGTTTACAATCTAATGTTATTTATATGGTTCCTTGCAATAATTGCGAAAAAACCTACATAGGCACTACCAGTCAGTATTTTGATGCTAGGATCAAACAACATAAACGTGATTGNCTAGAGATGTGCGCGTGAGTGATTTTTTATGCCCGCTCACGATCTATCCCACGCGAGTCACGCACGCCACTCACGTGAATATTATATATGAATCACGTGACTCACGCGTGATTCACGAGACTCACTCATAATCACGTAATCGAATGTATGAATCATGTTTGATTAGTTGTTAATTTGATTATTAATTAATCGTGTGTGACTAATGACAGAATTAACAGGGAGTTTATTTTTTTTATGTTTTGTTTAGCTTTCATTTATTCAAAAAGTCAAAAGTAATAAAATTAAAATAAATAATAAAAACTAGCATATTCATCATAAATTTAAATTTAAATAAAATTTTTTTTAATTTATTTTTTCTATTCTATTCTAATTTGTTCTTCATTAGTTTGTAGAATGTTTTTACAATAAATATCGTCCGATTACTGCCAAAACACACTAAGTGACATTTTGATATTTTGGTCCAATCGGGTCACGCCGGGTCCCGTCAAAATTAAAGTTGCTCACGATCACGCACGCTCACGTGAGTGGTATAAAAATTGATGCCCGCTCACGGTGGGTCACGCATGACCCATCGTGACTCACGTAATTTACACATCTCTAAGGCCCTCCGCACACGGGACGACTGATTTGCAATCGGAGTTTCAAATCGGTTGGGGATGCAACCGTTTGGCGACATAGTCTGTATACGAGAACGGGGATCCACACACGGGTCGATAAAAATGTGACCGATTTGCAATCAGTATCCAACCGGTTGCATGCGACTGTTTTTTCCGTGTCGCGAGACGGTTTCAGTTGTATGGTTGCGTGTTTTGTAAACACGTTTTTGTTTCTTTCACGCTGTTTTTATTTTCGGCATGGATCAGGAAACTAATATTAAGTTTGTTAAAGAACTAGAAAAGCATGAAGTGCTTTATAATTACCATCTTTCTGGATATTCAAGGAAAGACATCACGGAAAAAGCATGGCAGGAGGTGGCGGCTAAAGTAAATATGTCAGGTATGTGAAATACTTATGTTATTCCTTTATTTTTGTTATTATAATATTATTAATTAAGGGCCGATTTCATAATCAAATTAAAGGTTATGTTAAATTGTATTTTTCCGCTATTTCCATAGGGAAATTAAGGGAAATTTAAAATTTTAATGTTTGACTATGAAATCGGTCCTAATAATTGTGATTATAAGACAGGAATTTTAATCAGCATTCTAACTATTTGATGAATTAATTAAAATTTTAATTGATTACTGGATTACTTACTGTGTATTTCCATTGCCATGGTAGAGATCCACGATGAGAAACGAAATAGTTTGCCAAATAATTTCTCATAGTAACCGCAGAAGAACAGTCGCGTATTAGGACTTGTCTTTGTATGTTGTTAGGTACTTCCACCATTTCATTTTCTTCTATTACTGGAGTTCTGTATTCTATCCCCTCTCGTTTACGCACATAGTTGTGAAGAACGCAAGCAGCTTTTACTATGTCATTCACTATCTCTGCATTGCGACATCGTATTGGCCCGTTTAAAACCACGAATTTTTCTGACGCCATTCCAAACACACATTCAATAGTTTTTCTTCCATGGCTCAATCTATAATTAAATACCCTTTTCACATTGTCGAGGGTTTTCTTTGAATACGGCCTCATTAAATTTCTTGACAATGGGAATGCTTCATCTCCCACAAAATAGTATGGAAATGGAGTGTTTGTTTCGTCGTATCGCAAAGGGCTGGGCGAAGGGATCTCAAAACCCCCATTGGTCATCCAGTATTTCATTGCACTGGCCGTGAATATACCTCCATCACTATTTCGTCCGGCATATCCTGGTTCAATCATAGTGAAAAACCCATCTGCATCGCAGCAGGCCAGTAGAACAGTAGAATGAAATTGTTTGTAATTATAATTTTCGGAACCAGTATTCGGAAATTTCTCTATTCGGATGTGCTTACCATCCAAGGCTCCAATACAATTGGGAAGATTCCATAACATTTCAAAGCGATCAGCAATCCTTTTCCACTGATCTCCTGTAGGTACAGGCATATAAATCCCATTTAATACTTCCCAAATTACTTTAACAACGACTCCGATTGTAGTCTCCCCTCTTCCAAAATATAAAGAAAGTGCTACAAATGAGCAACCCGTGGCCTAGTACCTGTAAAAAGAAGTGAACAAAATTAAAACAAAATTAAAATTATAATGATGTTCTTTTTGATTTTAGCTGTCGAATGTAAAGAGAAGTGGCGCAATTTTCGTACAGTGTTTATGAGAAAAATGAACCCTCTACCAAGTGGATCTGGAGCGAAAAAGAAGGCATATTATTTAGCAGAAGCCATGCATTTCTGTTTGCCCTTTATAAAATCATCGGTTCCTCCTTCATCTGGGAACATACCGCAAGCACCACAGCATGAAATAACTGAGGAATCCTTAAGAGACGTAGAAATTTGTGATGATAGTGCCTCTTTGACACAATCACCCTTCACCGCCCCACATTCCCCAAAGAGAATAGTACCACCCGAAACCAGCGCACAACCTACTGCCCAACCTACTACTTCAGAAATGCCTGAACGCACCAACTATTTTCAGTACAGCCTCCGTCCATTCGTGCTAAAAGAAGCCTTTCTCATCGAAATAAATCAGCTGCAGACGCAGACCAATGTGTGGCCGAGTACTTTAAAGTTAAAAAAGCGAGATTGGAAAGTAGGGATGACGGAACTAGTGGCTCTAAAAACGAAAGAAGAGACGCAATCAAAATGTTTTTGCTAAGTTTGATCCCTGAATTGGAAGGGTTGGACGATTTACAAATTAAACTTTTTAAACGGAGAGTACTTAGTCTTATTGATGATATATCAACACCATCACAACCCCAATATTTGCAATATGGCGAAGAAGTATCACAAGAATCGGGCGATTCCCATAATACACACGCATCGTACAATTCTCAGCAATCACGCATAACGGAAGCTGNGGCTAGAACTATTTCGACCAATTATTATTTCTTGCAAATTCGATCGAAAACAGAGAAACATCAGGTAACGTAATGTCACCAGTTACCACAAACACAGATACGGATATTGGAGAAGTGGAAATAATGCAGCCAGATTTAGAAAACCCAACACCAAACAATCGTAATTTTATATCGAGTACACCTAAAAAATACAAATCGACAAAGAGCTATGAGGAGTCATTATTGGACATACTACGTGAAAAGAAGACGGAGGAAGTAGATGAAGATAGATATTTTCTTCTATCGCTACTTCCAGCGTTTAAAAAATTCGATGAAGAGCAGAAATTTACAGCTAAAACGGAAATTATGAATGTAATGAGACGCGTCCGGTTATCAAAAAACGCAACTCCTATTCCGTCTGCACCGTTGAGGCAATACTTCACCAACTTTACATCAGGACCCCCAGAGCAGCAAGTGTATCAACATCAACCCTACACCTCTTTTGCTGGTCCATCTCAAAATACATTATCGTATACAGAAACCCCACCATCATGGGATGATGGATCTTCCACATCAACCACATCCACAATAAATTAAATATGTTACTTTAAAAAATAAAAATTACTTTTTCAAAATCTTGTGTTCCTACCTGAGCGTTACAGACAATCTTTCCGGTACTGGCACTGCTAAGGGCATACGGGTATTTTGATGTACAATACGATCTTGAACTGCAGTCAGTAAGATGTTAAAACTCGTATCACTCATTCTATAGTAATTGAAGAATTTCATGGGGTGGTCCTTCAATGTTTCGAACAGTTTATAAAATTGACCATTAAACAGTCGCTGACTAATGAGGGGATGAACCCAGAAACGTCTGTTCTTCCTTTTTCTTCTTTTGATAATCAACGCACAGACACATGCTACATCAGTAGCGTCCATGTTGAAATTTAAGACTGCAGCAACTATCTAGTCGATAGTGCGCTGAGCGGAAATCTAATGGCAACTTTTTAATCGAGCGATTTTTAAGTTGGTCAACAATAAAGTCGCGAGTGCGCGCCTGGCCTAAATGTTTGTAACAAAATTATTAAAACGAGACATAAGAATTTGGATCGATATGCAATGTAAAATATATTTACATTATATTCTATTTCATTATTATTTTGTAGTTTCGGCTGATTTTGAGAGAATTAAATTTTATTTCTATGAACAACTAAGACACACCGCACACTACAGACTTTTGATCGGCCGATAGTTTGGTCGGTCTTTTAATTACTAATAGGGTATATGCAAGTGCGCACACTTAGAGACACCGCGATTGGCCGATAATAAAGTTTAATGGGCGACCCGATTCCCTTTCAACTTTGTAGTTGGCCAACTATCGGCCGATTGCTTCAAAAGAACATGCCGCTATGTATGTGCGCAGATTCGCCGACTTTTTAATCTGCGACTGCCTTTGCTTTATGACGTTACCATTGTTTGTGGTTACCATTATTCTAACCTCTCTGTATAATGTCGCTTGTATGCGAAGAACTAATTGAAAAGCTAACAGACGAGGTCGAGAAACGACCGGCGTTGTATAAAAAGAATTTAAAGGAATACTCCGACATAAATATGAAGAAAAAACTGTGATCGGAAGTCTGCGAAATAGTTGTTCCGGAATAGAATCAACTTGATGCCCAAGAAAGAACAAAACAAGGTAAAGTATCTACTTTTATTAATATAGGTTATATAAATATTTTACATCACTTCACTTTGTCATATTGAAATGGAACAGATCCTTGCGGTGACGTGAAATACGATGATAAGTACTGTCGTATGTTAATCATATTATTCCTTCCTCGGTTGTTTTCAACTATTTTAAAATTTTCCATACTGCAATCGTAGAGGATGTCAACGAGCATGATTCCATCTTTTATACTTACGTATTTGTGCAAGGTTTTATGCGGATACAAAAATTTATATTTACATCTATGGGTTGATGAAAAATACGCCACTTGTTTGCCAGAATACCAAAAGTACATTCAACTATACGACGGGCTCTAGTATGTCTGTAGTTGAAGTTCTCTTAGAGTAATTTAAATTTTTCTTTGCATATGGACGTAAAATGTGATTGCCTAGACCAAATGCTTTATCACCAACAACAACAAATGGTATCGCATCACCGTTTTCTTCATTGGGCAATTTTCTTGGAGCAAGGACATTCAATTGATTTTCTAAAAGTCGTTTACCCATGTTAGAGGTTTTCAATATCTCTGAATCACTAACTGTTCCATAAGAACCCACGTCTATGTAAACAAATTTATAATTTGCGTCAGTCCAAGCCATTAGAACACAAGAGAAGTACTTTTTATAGTTAAAATATGAAGATCCGGAATGTTGTGGCTGTACCATCCGTATATGCTTGCCGTCAATCGCTCCAATTACGTCGACAACAATTACGTCGAGACAACGAGTCGTCTTCTTGTTTAATTGCCATGTACAGTGGTTGAAGTATATTCCATATTTGCTCACACGTCGTTTTCACTATATCTCGTATTGTCGATGCTCTAATAAGATATGTGAATGACAGCGTATTAAAACTGGATCCAGTTGCCAGATATCTGTAATAAAATAAGTTTATTATCAACCGTGTTGTTTTACAATTGCAGGTAACGAAGTTCAGAAAAGATGGAACAACTTGCGGACTTGTTTTCGTAGAGAGTTGTATACCCAAAAAGCTACGAAATTTGGACATGCTGCGAGCAAAAGACGAAAATATGTTTATTTTGACAAAATGTTATTTTTATTACCATGTATTGAAAATCATGCTACAGAAGGCAACATAGAACGGGCATATAGTGATGATGGTGATATAGAAGGTGATACGGAATGTGAATCTCTTGCTTCTGCGCCTACTTCAATTCCTTTTCGTAAAACAAGAAAAAACATTGAAGAGAATCGAACAGCTCTTAACGAGGCTGATAAGGCGTAATTGCGTGCATTAAACGACACAAACCCCGATGAAGATACAAATTTCGCATTGTCAATTGTTGACATCTCTTCAGGCGCTTAACCCAGAGGAAAAACTAGATGCGAAGATTAGTATTTTAAATACATTTAAAGAATTAATGGCTAAGCGGAAACGACAGAATACCTCTGAACCCTATCGACGTGCATCAAGACTTCATTCAAATATACCGGCAATACAGGAAATAATGGATGTTGCAAATATCACATCTCCAGGATGCTCCAATGATACCGCTCACTAACACTATTCTAATTTTTCTACTAACTCCGAATTAATTGATTTGTGGAGCTTTGTAAAAATTAAAAAAAGAAACACACAAAGAAAATACATAAGACGTTTTACTTACCGTAAAGTCACACTCTTTCTTCAACTGGTATTGAACGTCTAAAATTGTTTCCTGCTTTGCTATGGCTCGTCCAATTAATTTAACTAGTGCATTAAAACTGTCAACACTCATTCTATAAAAAGCAAAGAATTTTTTGGGAAACTTTACTAGTTTATTATAATGCAGCGTGTAAAACTGTCCACGTATTAATCGATCACTGTAAATTGGATGTACCCAAAATTCTCGCTTTCTGTTCTTAATAATCCTTTTCCTCCTTCGTTTTAGAATAAGGGCAATAATAATAGGTCTTCGCGACAACATAGTTATCGGGCGCCTATCGCGGTCAATGTGTAATGATGCACCGGTCACCAATCCGACAGTTTAGTTGTAGCAATAGGTGAAGTCACAGTCCAATCCGATCGAACCATCGTACGATAGTTTGGTCAGTAGTGTACGGTGTCTCTAAAGTGTTACCGTTTAATTTGTGCAGTGATAAATCATCGCGACAGGTAGATAAATTTCTCATATCGTCGGTCCTCTTATCTGGATGCGTCAAAGTAAGTGACCACACCCCTTCTGGGGGTAGCGCACTGAGCGCGTTAGTAGGGACAAAAAAGTAATAAAAGCCGCGGACCCACTGTGAACGGTATTCATAACTTCTTTTAGTTTGAAGTGATTTTGTGCCTATTGAATATTTGTCTTTATTAAGATCAAGTCGGCGCATCATCGAAAAGAACCGTAACACTATCATGGATACTCCGAAGAGAAAACGTGGTAAGTTATATGTAGAAGAGAAAGTAAGAATTTTAAACATTTTCAGGAACCACCAGGAAGAACATCCAACATCAACAGTAAATAGCGTATAATTTACTGTAAAAGCCGCAGGTAACTATATCGCATCGTGCTTCGAATTTAACTTGCAATTGGGGTAGGACTAAGAGGAATAAATTTGAATTGCAATTTAAATACAATTTTGATCATAATGTAATTTTTTAAAGTGACGTTGGAAATTTTAATTATGAAACGGAGCGTAAATTTTATTTCATTTGATAATTCAATGTGATTAACCCAAAATGGATAATATAATATTTAGAAATCATATCATACTCCAATTGCAAATGTAATTTATAGCACGGTATTACAATAAATAATTATTTTGTTGCATTTTTGTAGAAGTGAGTAGAGGACTGTATAAAATATTTCAAGGGAAGTCAATGATAATGGTCACGTCTTGGACAAAATTTGTGAGGAACAAAAAGGTATTATTCGTAGAATAATTCATTCTTACTTTTTTAGGAACATATGTCCAACAGTACAGGAATTAGTAGTAGGTATTGAAAGTAACGAAGATTTGCCGGATCTTAAAAGAACCTCTTTTAGTACATTATTGCATGAAATGAATATTAGGTAAGTGTTTTAAAATCTGCAGCAAATAAAAATCTAATACACTTCTTATAGGTATGTTAAAAGGGGAAAAAATGTAATAA